TAAGGGGTGGCACAAGAGCCTAGCCCTAGCCCTATTTTTTCAGATAAGATGTGTTGAACCTAACCCCATCAAGAAAGATGCCAAGCCTCTGGGTACATGATTAGCCTAACCCTAGACTAATTCTATGGACATTCAAGGGGGAGGGGGTTGTGAAATAAAAAAAGTTTTTTTATTTCTAATCATTCTAGCCTAATGATGGTTTTAATTTTTGTGGAGTTTTAAAATCAATGCCTCAAAAGCTTGAGGGGGGAGCACCTAGGGCCTGCATTTAACTCACCTTTTTTTCTAAAAAATATTTATTTCTAGGCAATGATGGTTTTAATTTTTGTGGAGACAGGACCTGCATTTAACCCACCTTTTTTTCTAAACTGTATTTATTTCTAGGCAGTTTTACAAACATATCCTCGAAGGCAAAGGAAAAAACACAGCCCCTTTTAAACCCCGCAGCTGGTTTTTAACCTTTGTAAAATCTAAAGACACAATCGCACCCTCAAATCCTCATATAACTGTTCACAAGAGGCAAGCAGCCAGGCAGCATGTAGGGGTTAAGCCTTGTTCAGGCAGGCCTGGGACATGCCTGGGCATGTCATACACACACACACACCCCTTGTGATTCTGGGCATGCGCAAGAGGCATGCCAAGAACATGGCTGGGCATGTCATACCCCCTGTGATTCTGGGCATGTGCAAGGCTCAAGGACTTGTCATTACAAGAGCTGGGTAGTTTGTGTAGGTAGTCCTTAATTCCAGCAGTCTCTTGAAGAATTAGTCTAGAGTTAAGCTAATCATGTACTCAGAGGCTTATCTGAAAAAATAGGGCTAGGGCTAGGCTCTTGTGCCACCCCTTATCTGTTAGGGCTATTTATGCTTATCATGATGGGCTTAGGCCATTACAACATATACGGTTAGGGTTATGATCTTTTGAATCCTGCACCACGTGGGGGCAATTATGTGCATCATATCTGTGGAGGAGGGCTATGCACATCATATCCGGAGGGTTCGGGGCTGAGCACATCACTTCCATTTAGAGGCATGATCTGGTGATGTAATCAGCACGTGGGTTTGTTTACTTTGATGATGTTGTTGATCAAAAGTACTAATAATTTTCATTTAAAAAGGTATACACTATATCTACTGATACACTTCCATGATGGATTGAATATTGTTAACAATTGGTGTTATTAGTAATCCTTCACATTTGAAATATTGATGTTATGGTGGAATAATGAGTGATTTTTAAAATATTGAATGATAACACTTATTAAGGGATAACGAACACAGGGTATGAAGAAATGTTATTTATGCTTAAATGAATCTGTTGGAAGAAATGTCCTTCTGGGTTCGGCTCCAAGTGGGGAAAAAGACACTCAAGACATGGAGGCTGCTTGGAAAGATGATTTAATGGTGGGCAGGACCACATGGCTTAAGTCCTGAACAGAAAAGGTGATCACATGCTTCCAGATGTTGGGTGAAGAAGAGAGGAAGAAGGGGCTTGCTGTGTTTTTTATCATCTGTTCGGCCCCACCTCTCTGTTTCCTGTCCTGTGTATTCTGATTGGTTGTCAGACTCCCATGGAGCCATGCAGGGGTAACACTCTAGACTGTATTTTGAGTCCCAAGTTTGATTGAGTTTCCAGATGCCATGTGGTGAGTTTCTGTAAAAAGCTGATACTACCTTTATTATGTAAAGTACACTAGCTCAGGCTTTAATGGCTCATTGGCTGCAGGGAGTTACTCTGCCTTTAAAAACATGTTTCTCCCTTTTCACATCCAGGGAAATATAATATTCCACCTTTTCAATATTTCGTAGGCTATTTCATTTTTCTAGGAGAGGATTGGGTGCTAACTTCCTACAAATCAAAGTGTAATTGTAAAAGGAATATGAAATGAGACTAGTATTGTTTGATGTTGGAAGATTAGAATTTCACATACTATTTGTATCACTATTGTTAATGTTGTATAAAAAAGATTTGACCCAATCAATGTACTGTCCATAAACATGTATGTTTATATTGGAAAAAATAAAAAAACTTTTTTTTAAAAAGATTCAGATTGTTCCATAGAAAATGCTCAAGGAAGGACAAAGGGTGGAGAAAGTAATGCAATGCAGCAATTTCTATTATTTCTAGAGCTCACTCCCTCATGTGCAAATATCCTGAATTGTGCCACGATTTGTGAAAGCAGATTTTGCAAGAGAAGACTTTCAACATAACTTTCTCCTTTACTTTTGGAAGGAAATTCGATTATTGCCTCATTTGTCTGTTTATAGGCATTGCTATAAATACAAGAATACCTAAAGCCCCAGCCCAGCTCAAAGACATATTTAAAGGATAGGAGACTACTGGTACGTTCCCTGAGGCAAGATGACAATTTGGATTGGTTTTTGCTTCCTATTCCTGATTGCTTTGTCTGCAGAGAGGGGATTATCCACACAGGAGGAGACAGAAACCACCTGCTGCGCACGTGAGTCTCAATTGGACATTTCTGGGGTGAGCCAGTTAATTAAGATAGATTGCTATAGAGAGCTTCCCCCACCACTGCAGGGCACTTCCTCATTGGTGGGAAATCCATCTTCCCTCTCATTTCACCTTCCAGCCCCTGGGACTTCCCCTCCCTTTAGGGAATGTACTGTTTAGCTCCAGGCAATGGTTAGTTTTGCTTTTTTATTTTTTCCTCCTTGGGAAACCCAAATACAACAATGTGGGGAAGGCATTGTCTAGTAGCCATTTCCTGCTTGGTTATTGGCCAGAGGGAGGAATGGATGTTCAAGGAGCAAAGTTGACAGACCCATGGAAGGAGCTTTAGTGAAATTACAGCCATTCTAGGAAAGATGGGGAAAGAAATAGACCAGTGGAGTTTGTCTTTAGCCAAAAAGGCATGCCTTATAAAAAGATGCCTA